CTCAGGCCTGGGCAGGGGTCCGATCCGGTGATTGGTGATCGGAAGGTGATGAGGGTCAACTCCTCTGGCCGAGGCATCAGGCCTGGGCGGGGGGTTGGGGGGTCCCCTTCCTGGGCCTGATGCCTGGGCCAGAGGCATCATGCCTGGGTGGGGGGCGGAGCCAGGGATTGGGGGGATATGATGGTCCCCTTGCCCAGGCCTGAAGCCTGGGTCAGAGGCGTCAGGCTTGGGCGGGGGCCAGAGCCAGTGATCGGGGGGAGATGGGGGTCCCCTGTCCAAGCCTGACACCTCTAGTGGAGGCATCAGGCCTGGGCAAAGGGCTGATCAGGCGATCGGAGGATGATGGGGGTCTACGCCTCTGGCCGAAGCATCAGGCCTGGGCAAGGGGCAGAGCCAGCAATCGGAGGGGTCTGGGGGTGCCCTGCCCAGGCCTTATGCCTGGGCCAGAGGCATCAGGCCTGGGCTGGGGGCAGAACCAGTGATGGGGGGAAATGAGGGTCCCCTGCCCAGGCAGGGTGATGGGGGTCAACGCCTGAGGGCTCCCAGTATGTGAGAGGGGGCACACTGGGCTGAGGGACACTCCCCCCCGCCCCCCACACACACACCAAGTGCACGAATTTCGTGCACCAGGCCCCTAGTATTATATATTTGTATGTTTGGTGTCTTCTAATATATATGTATAGTTATATCAAAATAAAGTCTGTAAAAAGTTATAAATTTAGAATGATTTTATGATTTACAAAAGTAAAAAGTGTTTAGGTAGAAATCACTTAAATCTTTAGAATTAAAGATTGTAAGAGAGACTTAAACTAGTCTTACTGAATAAGTCATCTGTAGATAGATGAGGTATGAACCAGAAAAGACATCTTATATGTGGAGAACTTAAGAACAATAGCACATATGCATCTTGGAACAAGCCTGACCTAGGTGGATGGAGGAGGTCTTTGTTGAAGAGGAATCTACACTAATAAAAGAGAAACATGGTAATTGGCGTATGACCAATACCCTTCCCATTGGCTAATCAGGGAGATATGCAAATTAACTGTCAGCCAAGTTGGCTGCCGGCAGCCAGGCAGCTTGAAACTAACATGAGGCTTGCTTGCTTCAGTGACAGAGTACTGCAACATTCCCCGCCTGCCTTTCCGGCCTTTGAGCCTGCAGTTTCAAACATTGTAACAAATATAGAGCTAAACAGAACCCCAGAAACCAGCTTTCAGAGAGCTGGGATCTCAGAGCTGGAGTTGATACGGAGTTTCGATAACCGAAACAAACCAGATACCTGCTTTCAGGAGCGGAGGCCTAAGAGCTGGAGTCTCAGAGCTAAAGCTGGCCCAGAATAAAAAAAAAAGAAAAAAAGAAGCAGTTGGGAGCTTCAGGCCCAGCCTGAAAACAGCCCTCAGCCCCTCACCGAGACTGGCCAGGCACTCCAGTGGGGACCCCCACCCTGAAGGGTTTGTTACCAGCTGCAAACAGCCATCATCCCCTCGCCCAGGCTGGCTAGGCACCCCAGTGGGGACCCCCACCCTGATCCAGGACACCCTTCAGGGCAAACCAGCCAGCCCCCACCCATGCACCAGGCCTCTATTCTATATAGTAAAAGGGTAATATGCCTCCCAGCACTGGGATCAGCGGAGCCGCGAGGCCTCCCGGCACCGGGATCAGCATGACAGGGGGCAGCGCCCAAACCCCCTGATCGCCCTGCAGCTCTGTGTGTGAGAGGGGGCGGCGCCCCAACCCCCTCACCCCACGGGCCCTGCTCTGTGTGTGATGGGGTAGAGCCATAACCTCCCCATCGGCCCTGCCCTGAGTGTGACAGTGGTGGCGCCCCAACCCCCTGATTGGCCCTGCTCTGTGCATGACAGGGTACAGTGCCCCAACCCCCTGATGGACCCTGCTCTGTGCGTGACAGGGGGAAGCACCCCAACCCCATGATTGGCCCTGCTCTGTGCGTGACAGGGGGTGGCACTACAACCTCCCCATCGACTCTGCTTTGAGTGTGACAGGGGGCGGTGCCCCAACCCCCCAATCGGCCCTACCCTGAGTATGACTGAGGGTTGCATCACAACCTCCCGATCCGCCCTGCTCTGTGCATGACAGGGGGCGGCACCCCAACTCCCCAATCGGCCCTGCTCTGAGCCCGACCAGGGGCTGCACCTAGGGATTGGGCCTGCCCTCTGCCACCCGGGAGCAGGCCTCAGCCAGCAGGCGGTTATCTCCCAAGGGGTCCCAGACTGCGAGAGGGCACAGTCCTGGCTGAGGGACCCCCTCTCTCCTCCCCCACCGAGTGCACAAATTTTGTGCACTCGGCCTCTAGTCTATATATATAAAAGCCTAAATGACTGAACAACCGAATGACTGGTCAACTGGTCACTGTGACGCACATTGACCACCAGGGGGCAGACTGTCAACATGGGAGCTGCCCCTGGGGGTCAGTGCGCTCCCACAGCCAACCTCCCATGGCCCCTCCCCATGGCCAGCCAGCCAACCTCCCATGACCCCTCCCTCTGAACAGCCAGCCAACTTCCTCCGGCCCCTCCCCTACCCCACCAACAGGCTTCAATGGCCCCAACATCCCGCAGCCCCTCCGCCCAGCCAACCTCCCGCAGGCCCAATTGCCGGCCAGGCTGAGGGACTCCACCCATGCACAAATTCGTGCACTGGGCCTCTACTGGGAAATAAGACCATAGGTAACATTGGGCCTGGTTAGTAGGACTGGTGAAAAAAAGTTTAAAAATTAAATGCAAAGCAGTTCTATCACCTGTTGACCAATGTCACATTTCATTTTGTAAATGTGTGGTGGTTTCATTGCAGTATCAGTGATAATTAACTGAAAGGACAAACAGTTCTAAGTGAAAAGGATTCTGAGGAATTAATATGAGGCTGATTTAATAACTCAACAGTGTTAACTGTATTAGTGATAGATTGATTAGAGCTCTGCTAAATATATCAGCATGCTAAATCTGTTGACAGTTTGAAGGAATAAATAGGATTGCAGAATATTTTAAAAGTTGGAAAACTAAATTTTAAAAATGAGGAATGTATGCTAGTAAAAAGCATTTTTGAAAAATTACTTCGAGAAATTAAAACATACCTCTTCTGGGTTAAACACCTATAGATTGTAAATTTGTCATTTACTTGTAAAAATTAGGAGAGACTTAAATAGAGCAAAAATCAAAAAATAAACATAATCTTAGAGTAAAAGAAGACTATATATAGTCTATTTATATATATAGTAATAGGCTATATATA